CGCTGCAAAATCAGACGCTGTAATATTAGAAAAGGGAGTTAAGAACTACGAACAAAGGATTTTCTTAGAGGCTTTACATTCCACTCTTAGTGAAAACACGGCTAATGAACATGCTGAATTTCCGGCTTGTTATTCTATATTAGCAGATGAAATCAAGCGGAACGATAAACATTATATATAGAGGTGTAATGACTCTTGCCATATACTCTGATGAAGGCTTGCAGCTCGCAGCCGAAAATTTAGTTTTTAATTTTACTAGTTTTTATTTCAAATAAAATGTTTTTAACTAGATCAGCTACAAACCTTAGAAAAGTTATCATGTATTCTACTGATCGCCTCAACAGTATATATATATATATATATATATATATATATATATATATATATATATATATATATATATATATATATATATATATATATATATATATATATATATATATATATATATATATATATATATATATATATATATATATATATATACAGCTAATTCAATAAAGGTTGTCCTTTGAAAACCTTAAACTCTAAAACCTTAATCCTTAAACTCTAAGCGCGCAAAGCATTATGGTAGTACGATTTAAGCAGTTTAGAAAGCATATATGGAGCCCATTTCTTAGAGACATGGTAAATATCTCCCTGCGAAAACATTTCACTCACAAACAGCTGCAATATTCAACTACTAAGCTTGAAATCAGTGCTCCCATTATGCTTTGCGCGCTTAGAGTTTAAGGTTTAGAGTTTAAGGTTTAGAGTTTAAGGTTTGCAAAGGAAAACCTTTTTTGAATTAGCTGTATATATATATATATATATATATATATATATATATATATATATATATATATATATATATATATATATATATATATATATATATATATATATATATATATATATATATATATATATATATATATATATATACTGAAGACTATTTTCAAAAAAATAGTCGATGAGTTGACGTAAGGTAGAAGAGCGCTCAATACCATAATAAGTAGAGCGGAATTAATTCAGTCAAGGTTTGAATGTTTGCGTCGCTACTCTGAGTTTCACGCTTTACGCGATCATCAGGCAACTGACAGATATTATTCAATATTCATAATAAATATAGGTTATCATTTACAACTTGATTAAGCAGGTATCTGGTTCCATGTCTACATTTGGAAAACAAGTCAGAGCGTTTGTTCAGGCATTCAGTTTTCTTCGCTTTCATAATAAATATAGGTTATCATTTTACAACTTGATTATATATATATATATATATATATATATATATATATATATATATATATATATATATATATATTTATATATATATATATATATATTCAAAAAAATAGTCGATGAGTTGACGTAAGGTAGAAGAGCGCTCAATACCATAATAAGTAGAGCGGAATTAATTCAGTCAAGGTTTGAATGTTTGCGTCGGTACTCTGAGTTTCACGCTTTACGCGATCATCAGGCAACTGACAGATATTATTCAATATCCATAATAAATACGTCTTTAATAATAATCAGGCTTAATATAAAGATTCCATAGCAACCCAGTGTGGATTGTTGACGTTGTGTACTTGTGTGCACATGTTATAAACTATAAATACCAGCAGTTGTGCATGAGTCAATTCCAGGAGTAAACCATACCCCCCCGGAACACATCCAGGAATTTGATTTGATTGGTTACGATAGTGCAAATGCCCGTGTGCAGGGACACAAATAGGAGACTAATGCACGGCCCTTGGGCAAACTGAGAGTGGAAAATTTTAATGGCATATCATAGGCATAGTCATTTAATAACATTATACTATTAAACTGCTATGGAATACCATAAAACTTTAATCTTGCGAAGAGTGCTTAAAAGGATATTTAAAGAACGAAATCATAAACCTTTAGTAGTTGTATTTAAATTCGCATGGCACAGCTAATAATTTTCGCAAAAGTGAAACCATTTATTTTGTCAAATCCCTGAGATCTCAGCTACTATAACAATACCCGGCCCCTGTGCACGTATATGACAGGCAAATTCCCGAACCCTGTGAACTGCCTATCGCACAAATTCCCGGGGGTGTTCGGGGGGGGGATGGTTACTCCAGGAATTGAGTCATGCATTACATGTAATGCACCAGTAAAAATAAAGCCCACTCCGGGATATAGGTGGGGATTGGCTTTGAATAGTGTACCAAAACAGACAAATACCCCTACCATATGGGACTGCAAAATATGGCAAAAGACAAAAGACATCTTAATCATTACAATGGGTGATGTTATCTGAAGCTGGCATATGTCAACAAATAGATTCTGTTTCCCGATCAGCAGATTGTTTGGTTGTTCAATGATAAGGGTACCGGTAGCCTTGAAGGTGCCATTAAAACGATAATTGGGACAAAAACTGACTTTAATTAAAAATTGATATTATACAGTATGCAGTGGCAAGCTAGTCATGGCAACTGGTTACGCTACGATGATAAACCTACATCATTTGAATAATACAAATTGAAAACTTTCATGGCATGATCTGTTGCTATGGCTTGCAATATTTAGCTGAGCTTCGACTTTGTGCAAGGTGTTTGATATTCAAATTGCACTTTTCCTACCTCCTGAAAAATTTTCCGATAGTAACTTCTAGTATATAAGTAAGGGGTGTGGTTTAAGATAGGGCAAGGACAAAATACATTATTCAGAGCATGATTGAAAAGCTGTAACGATTCAGATAGCGAAAGGAATAAATACATAAAACATTATATTGGCGACGAGGTTATAAAATAAAGTACGAAATTATCGATAGAGAATTAATTTGCAAATCACCAAATGAGCGAAAGCTCCGGAGAAGAAACAGAACCAGTGAACAAGGACGCTGATATGGCGAATGTACAAGCCGCTTTGCCATTTTTCCCACCATTTGTACCGGGCAGTGATCCCGCACCTACAGGACCCCGTTGGACCAAATGGGTCAAACGTTTTGAAAACTTCTTAACAGCAATGAATGTAACCGAGCCCAAACGAAAGCGTGCACTAGTGCTCCACTACATTGGTGGAGTAGCATATGATATTTTTGATACCCTACACGAGACGGGAGAGGACTACGCAATCTATGTATTCCGACAAGAAAAACAACGCACTGGAGAAACTCTTGATCAGTATGCGACACGTCTAAGAAAATTGACCAGTACCTGCGAATTCACCGACCTAAACAAAGAGTTAAAATCTCAGATAATACACGGTTGTGTCTCATCCCGATAAAGACGACGGGCCCTACGTGAGTCAACGCTTAATCTTGATCAACTACTGCTCAGTCATGGTCGAGCAATGGAAACTGCAGAAAAAACGCACGAACGATTCCCATGAAATTAATCGCACTCAGTTTCAACAGCGTTTATATCAACAAAGCCCTCGCGAAACGAATCGCTCACGAAAATGCTTCAATTGTGGAAACAACTATCCTCATTTAGATGGAATATGCCAGCAAAAGGGAAAGCCTGTAGATTGTGTCAGAAAATGAACCACTTCTCTCGTTGTTACCGGTCTACAAATCGAAATATTAAACCCGATGATAGTGTCAATCATGTCAAAGCCGGAAATACTACGCAGCGAAAACAACAAGATACTACAAGCGAGCAGAGCAACCAACACCCGGTAGATTCGAGTTCTGATGACGAATACAAATTTTCGCTTGGAAATATAAAAACACATGCAATTAAATCCAAAGTTAAAAGCCCCAAAGTTCACGTAAAAATCAGAAAGATGCCAACAGAAATTATGATCGACACCGGTGCCAGTGTTGGCGTTATTGACGAACACGCCCTTTTACGAATACAAAAATATTCACGCAAGACAAATCAGCCCCCCCCCCCATTGCTTTATGTAAGACAAACACAAAGGTATACGTGTACGGCGCGAAAACACCTCTGCCTATCGTTGGAAAATTTGACGTCGAAATAGAATCGTCGACTCGTATTGTTGTGACCACAATATATGTAATTCAAGGGACATGTGGTTCGTTGCTTAATTACGAGACAGCCTTAGCCTTAAACCTTAGCAAGTTAACTATTAATGCAACAGAAAATCAACAACCGGACGTTCAAGAAGAAAAACAAACTGAAACAATTATTAGACAAGTACAATGATCGATATCATGGAGTTGGAAAATTAAAAGACTGTCAAGTTCATCTTCACATCAATGAAACTGTTACACCTAGTGCCCAACTACACCGAATAATCCCGTTTCACCTTCGAAAGGGACTTGAACAAGAATTAACACGATTAGAACATGAAGGCATAATAGAAAAAGTACATGGTCCAACCCCATGGCTGTCTCCACTAGTTGTGGTACCCAAACCAAAAAATCCAGGAAAGGTACGCCTCTGTGTTGACATGCGCGTTGCCAACAAAGCGATAGAGAGAGAACGACACATCACACCCACTATCGATCAACCTCGTACCCAGGGCATTTTACCTCCGCGGCGTCGGCGAAAAAGGCCCTGGCCTCGGCCGGTCAGTTATGCAACATGATTGGTTAGCCGGCAAGCCAAATTAATTCGCGTGATAATAATTTATTCCATGTAATTTCAAATCAACAAGGAGCGATTTGTGAAATCTCAAAACTTTCGAAGTTAATATTGCAGATTTTTCGTTCAAATATGGCTTTTATTGAAGGTAAGCAGCAAGTTAAACATATTTGTATGCTTATTTATCTATTTATATAATTGGACACATGCTGTTCTGATGACATCACATGTATTATTTATAAGACGTATTAATCAGAG